AAATTGCGTCTGCTAAACGTAGAGCAGCTGGGTGTGAATGCACCAAGTCAGCAATTAGCCCAATATGGAGCGGTGTCTTAGTGCCAGCAAATAAACCGAAGATATGGGCTTTACGGTGATGGAAAGATGGCATAGCATTGAATAGATGAGTGACGAAAGTTGCTCCTGAGGATAAAACAGATTCTGCTGACTCGTAGTCAGAGTTGGTATGACCAATAGACACTACGATACCTAGTGAAGATAAGTATGCTGCAGCTGTTGAAGCACCTTCTAATTCTGGCGCAATCGTAATCATCTTAACTCTATCAAGATTGGGACCGTAAATCTCTGAAATGGTCTGACACTGTAAGACAGAGAAGGCTGAAAATTACCTTTATAGGACTAGTACCGAATCCCTTTATGTAGTCTGTTTGGTGCATTCCAGCGCAATCTGTGCTAATAAATGGACCCTCAAGATGAATCCCAAGCACTTTTGAACAGTTGGGTTTGTTTACATATTTCTGATATCCTGATATAAGTTTTGGATACAATTCTTGACAGGACGTAATGATTGTTGGACAAAAAGCTGTGACTCCTGTTTGTGGGAGTCTCTCTGCAACCTGATTACAAGCATTTTCTATGTCCTGATCTGGATTTGAGAAATCATACCCATAAGCACCATTAACTTGTACATCTATAAGACCGGGAGAAATAATACCTCCGCCAACATCGATGAGAATATCTGGGATTGCCTTTTCAGAAAAGAATATAGTTAGTCCGTCAAGAATTATCCCATCTCGAATCCACAAATCGTCTTTTACCAAGTGCTCTTCTCTAACTAGATAACAGTTGTAAAATCTGATAATTTTTCCCGTTAGGTTTAACGTAGATAATTCATCCATCAGCCTAAACAGATTATTCAGAAATCTGAAAGGTCATTTAACGTGATCAAGGAAGTTTCTTATTTAATTTCCAAGGTTTCGAACAATGAAACATCATCAAGGCAATAACAAGTTATGTATATCAAACATTCAAAATCTTGACGTTAAATGTTTCTCCACCTACACATATTAGCTATACGATGCCACTTACTGATAGGATTGAGTAAGATTAACTACTTTGAGGTCAATTTTTCACTGGTTTGTTTACTTTCTAATCTTATGGTCTATATCAGAACAGGTTATTGTTTCATCTCAATTTGGATTAGTTGTTCGGTAAAATTTATTTGTCTGAAAGTACCCTTGAATGTATAACTATCGTAGCTTTCATCTCTTACTAACTAAATGAAATCCAAATTGAGTGTAAGTTCATCATAGATGGACTTGTAAACAAAAATGGTTACATTTGAAGTGTTGAAGGTCTGTCTACCACTTAGAATTTTTTATTAGGTTTCAATTAACCCTATATCACAATTCAATTGTTAAAGAAGCTGATAATTTAGTTTCTTAACAATTTGGATGAAGAGTTGAAATTTCTAGTAGCAGAAAGTGAGTTTTTTTATTTGCACTATTTACCTCCACCAATATTTTCATTAGAGTGCAGTTGATTGGGAATTGATTGTATGTAATCAGTGATGGATATTTCATTATCAATTTTACATTAAAGTCACTTTCGAACGTAATCATTATTTATTTATTTGAACACATAAATATTGGTACAAGAGGGCACCGATAAACTTTATGAACGAAGCCACACAAATCAAAGGAATGAGACTAATACATACAATCAGAGAAAGCCTTTGAATCCGAAATAGACACCAAGGACTTTCTGCATTTTGAAGCAAACCTACTAAACCCTACTTAAAATAAACTTTGGTTCTAAATTATGATGTTTTACTTTCCATGCTACAAATTCTGGGTTTCTTCTAAGTGGTTTTGGGAAAAAAAACCAAACCCGGGAAAATTCCAGTCTTACAAAACTTTCGTAAAAATGAACATAAACGTAAATAATTATTCAACTGAAATAAAATAAGACCTTCAAATTTTCGTAAAATGGTAACCGTCTCATAGATCATTGATTTAAAACACAACATTGACCACTTACTCATGTTGAGTAAGAGGATTTTGGGTTACTTGATTGTGAGGCTGTTTTATAAACCCCCAATATACATGTGGCATCATATAGGTAATTAAACAAATCCTTTAACACTTCAATCATTGTTCTCACTTATTTCTACTGGTAATTGTTATTTTGTTTGGAAGTTTGCAAAAATGCATGCAATGTCCTGGCCAAGAGACAATTTTTTCAGTAAACGCCTATTTACACTTTTGTACAACACAAAAATCGAGTTAAGATCAATCTTATGGCCTGTTTCAATCGTGTTTGGCAACAGAGGATGATAGGTGTTAGTCCTGTATTCTCACTGGGTTACTTCATTCTACTTGTTTCTGAAAAATATTTAGGTACATGTTCACACCCTAATTTTGAGATCACGATTACTCCTCCTTATGTATGTGACCACACAAACATTTAAATTGATAAACACAGTGGCATGTGACGCAATTGTTTTCATGCCTTTTAGTTTTTTGGTGAAGCATGGACCTTGTTTTCTCTTTCATAAAGACCTTTGCCGCGTAACGCAGCCTGTTAACAACTGATTCAAGCCTTTGTTTCAGTAAAAAGCTATTTGAATAACCTTCAAACGACAAGTTGATACAGACAGGAGTTTCACTGCCAAGGCTATAGTATGTCTTACTATATCATAAACTCTTCATCTATTTATGAATTTAAGGATAGCCATTTTCCACTAATGTTTTGTTTTACAACTTAACATCATCATTTGTGCACGTAGCAATAAAGTGCTTATTTGACAGGCTTGATCGTAACGAGCATCTGCTCGTTATCAATCTCCTTGTAAACTATAATTTTATTTCCTATAAATGTCTTTAATCATGTGTAATTTTCTAATCAACTCGACAGCAGTTCATGTCTTTTGACGTTTGTTTCATAATAGACATGAAGAGGACAATAGAAGGCATTTGGAGTGTATTTAGGCAAAAAGTAGACGACTCGTGGATATTTCAAACAAAAGGCGACAAAAAGGGAAGAGTTCACACTATATCCTTATGACAGGAGAAAGGAGACATTTTGAGGTATCTTCTGTTCATTTTTTTGACGAAATGTCATCCTTATTTCCCCTTTGTCGATTACTTAAGCAATCGACAGTTCTTGGAAATTTCCATGTATTGTAAGTCATTACTTAAAATATTACAAGCAGCCAACTTTGGGGAAATCCCCTAAGTGAAATAGCCTACCTCGAAGTTTGGGGAAATTTTTGCGAAACTTCCTCAACGTTCGGGGAAATTTTGGGGTTTGCGTCTCATTTCCCCAGAATTTACTATAGCGGCTTCCACAAGATGGACCAAATTTTCCTCAAAATTGGCAGCTTTGGATAGCAGATATTAGGTGGTGCCCTGAGATGAAAATAATCAGAAGCTAATTTTTCCGGTGTTTTGATTGATCATGTGTTTTACAATAGACTCTATTTAGTCCACGTGAAATAAATTTAGCACACACTTGCAACATGTGTCATAGTCAGTGTTTTTATGATTATGACTTTTTACGATTGCAACCGAGATCAGATTTCTGTGGAGCAATTCAAAATCAACCTGAGAATACACCCAGATAGACGCAAATTACTAGACCTACGATTTCTGTTGAGGACTGAAACGTAAGGAACTTCAGTCCCAAGGTCGCGCAGTTGCAACCTTGTATTATTTTGATCCCGCGATAATTCTTCTGTTGCCTGTTCATTTGCAAAGAGAGTAGACCGTTTAACCTGTGTTATTACTTGTTACTCGCTTACTAGAGAAGATCTGGCTTCTTTTCCAGACTGTTTATTATTGGCGCAAATAAACAAAAAAGGGTAAATTTAGGGAAGATCCTTGAGGAGTGTCGGTGTGAATATAGGCGTCAGTGCATCTAAATTCCAGTCGGCTGATACCACTTGTTTGTTTATGGTAATATAGTTATTAGCCACTCAACGAGGAGACCAAATCTCATTCTGAGTTTGTTCGGTCGCGGTCTTTATGCATGGACACTATTATCGATGAAAAAGGAGGATTGGCAAATTAGGGACAGTATTCCTATAGTTGAAAAGCATCTGAAACTCAAAACAGGTGTCAGACAATATCAAAGTCGGAATTTCAGTTCATACTTAAGACAGTTCCATAGTCCGGAGCTAAAACTTCAGTTACTACTGCAACCATAAAAAATTTTCATATATTTGTAACCCATCGTCTACGCCAGATACTGACTGTCTGTTTATCAAATACTTTCAGGCACAGCCTGGGGTGGGAGAGAAAAAACCAGCTCCCAGCTGAAGAGGAAAATAGGAAGATTCTGGGAGTAGATAGGATGAACTTGGAGGAAACCATCGAACTACATCACGAGGCGAGGGCTTAGTTTTAACCTTGAAGGGAAGCGATAAGAGGAAGCTCGAAAAATGCATTTCGTCGGGAAGTGGAAACAGACATGTAAATGATGCATAAGGACTGTAAACAACTGAAAATGATTGTTCGGGACAGAGTTGGATGGAGAATGCTGGTGGGAGGCCTACGCCCCTCCCCGAGGAGTGACAGGTGTAAGTTAGTAGGTAAGTGAGTGAGTAAGTAAGTAAGTGAGACCAAAGGAGGGAATTTACGAAAACATTCCAAAAAAGTCCATAAATTGAGAGCGAACTAATTGTTGGCTAGCTATCAACTTTCTTATTGAGCAGGCAAAAAATGAAAAATCTTGGACCAGAATGCAGGCGTAACGTTGGATTTAATTCAAATTCTACGCTGAGATTTTACAAATATATTCTTTTTCTTTAATGAAATCGATTTTTCACTACTCATTGAACAGCTAAATAATTTGTCACAGATTCATAAGAGAGATTAATAGTGGTGACATAATGTTTAGTATTCTAAGGCACGATAATGCAATTCGTAATTTGTTTGTGTATACTAAAATCTGTTAATTGTTGGCAGCGCAGTAATTCAAACTGCTTTCTGAGGTGTTTTCGATGTTCAGATTGAGGCATGCTGCGGGATATAATATATAAGGGAAAGGAATTAGCTGACAAAGTGTAGGTTCTGTTTATTCGAAATTACTTTAGAAGAACGAATATAATGATGAATTACACGGAGGCGGAAATGAAGGTTCGAGAAGCAACTAATGATGATATGTGTTGTCCAAGTGGTCGTCTTTTACAAAAGTTGGCAGATTATACGTATACCTATGAAACATGTTTGGAAGTCATGTCAACTATATGGAAAAGAATGCATCCTGAAGATAGATTGAGTTGGCGGAGGGTTTATAAGGCATGTGTATTTAAAAAGGGAGCTTCATTCATCACTGTCTTTTAAATGTGTTCAAGGTGTCTCTTGTGTGCAAATAAGTTCGTGGGCAATATAACTCATTAATCTCGATACGGTGTCTGCAAAGTTTCACATTTTAGACATATAAATTATAGTAATCTTCTGAAACTGTAGAGCCAAACAGTAAATAGTCAAGCCTAAACGCAACAAATTATGTTTGTAATAGAAATCCTGAAGCTGATTTCACTTTTATCACACTTCATATGTCATTTGGCCTTGTCTTACTTGATTTTGGCCTTGCTAAATTATGACCTGGGTTGTCCACTAGTCTTATCAGTGAACGACAATATTTCATGTCGTCAGATTATGGTGACCTTGTGTCTGATGTAGCCACAACATCATATGTACGCAGGATAAGTTAATTAGTCACTTTACGTGTGCAACCAACTCGATCTCGATTTTTGAATTTCCAGGGAACAATTTGATGACCAGTCCTAGATAAACGGAACAGTAATAATTGACACCATGATGATTGATGGAAAGACGGTAACCCAACTTAAGGCCATATCAACCCACAACAAGCATTTTGGTAGAATTAGTGTCTCACCCTTTCTTTATATGCAAAGCAATTACGCCATTTCAACATTTGGGTTTATGCCCCTTGAACCTGTTTTGGCACATTTACCTCATATTCAGGACCTAAACTCTGTGTTCAAATCTCACAATCCAGGTCTGCCTGATGTATGTTAACTACCAGGTACTGAACTGTCTTGTGTCAATTCCAAAAGTTAACGAAGAGACCTTGAGTTTTCAAAGCCTCGGTAGATTTCACCTTGGATTTATCTGTAATTTCGAGGTAATGATTTATGACAATTTTTCAATTCTTAACAATAACAAGCGTAGTTTATAGTGTATCACTTGTTGGTTTTCTGTTTCCTGTTAGGATCATTCACCTTCACTCTCTAGTCTCTTTCACTGGCAACGTTTTTAGTCCATTTTCTAGATGTGCTTTCTATTCCAAAACTTTTCGGCTACGTTCCGAAGTATGGGATTTAGTCTAAAACTTTGAGATCTACATATGTTCCATATGTGGGTGTGTTTCTTTATTCAGCTGTCGAATTTGTAATTTCGAAAACAAGTGTAAGTCAAACAAAAGCTCCAAACTAAAGTATATTCTTAAACATATATAATACTGGAAATTCTAGCAAGTTGTCTGAGACGACGATTGTGTAATTAGTGCACAACCTGTACTTAAAACCCAGCTGTTATCAACGTTATTCAACTTCATGCCCGTCAAATACTATGATGTCGGGATAAACATACGAAAGTAAGGTTAATTCATGACAATTTAGTTATCATTTTTCAAAACTTGGGGGATAAGGAAATGAGATGACCGAGTATAAGTCATTATGTTTGATTATAAGTTATACTTCCTTTGTCCTAGTTATGCTATTCAGCCACCGGAGTTTTCGCAGTCAACATGTTCTTAAGCCTACAACTCAGTAGTTTAAAGTCATATGGTTTAGCCACTGTTGATAATCTTAAACTAGGATACATTAAGAAATTGAAATATGTAACGTGGGTTACTCGTTTTGGTAGGATTGTCAGAGAACGTTTAATTTGGATCCTCGCAGTTTTTGAAACTAGGCTTTTCGTCAAAATTCATCAGGATATGACATTGTGAATAATTCGTAACGAAATTACTTAAGTGTGAAGGTTCATAAGTTTAGTGGATACAATCTTACACATAGAAGCATGTGGCTACTCAGTAGGGATAATATGTTTGTTTTTGTGCTAGTGTTTTAAGGTTCGCGTAGAATCTTCTATCTAACTCACACTACTCAGTGAATTTGTTTCTGTGTGATAATTGGATATATGTTTATTGATCAGGTTATTTATCTTGTTAAAAATAATTGCTGAAATTGTCCTTGTATATGTCTTTGTTTAGGTAGTTGTTCTGATGAATTTTTTAACTGACTCGTGATAATTTTCAAAATATCCAGATTGAAATCTGTCAGTAGCTACCACATTAAACAATCTGTCATCATAATAACGTACACTAACTGACCTGCCAGCTTTCTGACTTAATGTATTTCTGTATTAATATCACAATGTTATTATTATTTGAATAGTTTTTGGTGTTACAATACAGACCACTAAGGTTCCATAGTGGGAATTAATAGATCTACAACTTTGTGATGCAATACCACTCGATTTATTGTCATAATTTATTAACAAATTTCACAGTGAAATTTCAGTACTAGTTCAAACGTTTCGTTTTATTTTTAAATTGTAGTCTTTGGTTGTCCTTACCTTTCTTTTGAAAAATGGTTCTGATTATGTGTTACAAAGTGCTCAAGATCATATATACGACATTCGTACACTCGAATCTTTTCGGTATTTTGATGAGAATGGAAAGGATCAAGGAATGAATGGTAAGCGATTATTCAGTACTCCATAACGTGTTTATGTATTATCAGATTTTTATATGATAACTTGCAGAAGGAACTCTAAATATGATTAAAGCACAATCAAGCTGTTAAGACTGGTGAATGATACGACTTATTGTGTATTTAGTATTTGTTAGTCACGAATGTTACTGTTAATTCGTATGTCCTTGTGCTACCGTGAGTGACCTTAATTTTACTTAAACGCAAACATTGGTACAAGGAAGCACCAAATAGATATGCGCCACATAGATCGAATGATTTATGTGAGGGCTGGGATACTACTTGGATGCCCAAACTGAAGCAGGTGGTTTTCTTGAGGGGTCACACCGCGATCCTTCGACCTAAAGGTCTGATCCACAAGGCAGTGGAGCATAGTAAGGAGATACAGTTCGATGGTAGCCGGTTCATACGCCGTTTGTTCCTTCAGAATACTGGAGCCCATGTGTACCATGGTTTGGAATCAGGGTTTCCCAACTCCCTTAGGTGGACCGTACGTGTCCACCACTACGAATATATCCTTATACGCAATCTTTCTTTTATGTATTACCACCATTGACTTAAGTCAGTCAGTCGGCTACAACGTAGGACCAGGCACATATATGCATCGGTCCAAGTTGCCACACCTCATTAAAACAACAAGATGAACACCGGATTCATAAAAGTAGTTAATTCAGAGGTGGAAATATATAAGAGAAAGATTGCAATAAGGATATAGTACAGGAAGAAAGAATTAGTTCGTAGAAAGAAAGATATGAAGTGATTTTAATCTCTTAGTTTAAGGGAAGACAGAGAGTGTATACACCGACGCCATTGTGATCGATTCTGAGCCATGTCACACAGAGTCTCCAACCATTGGTTACGATAGTCACGCGGACCCCAACCAAGTAGTCTGCATCTACCAACATGGCTCAGACTAGAAGTTAGTGACTTCAAGCACTGATGCCACGTTTTGGTTTGGCCGCCCCTAACTTTCTTCCAACCATCCCAACACCGGTTAGCATTGCACGTCGTGGTAATCGGTGTTCAGGCATACGTAACACGTGGCCCAACCATCTCAGTCGATGAAGATTCACAACCTCATCAACTGATTTACCATCATTCCCTAATACCCTGCGTCTAACCTCACTATTACTTACCCGGTGATCCCAGCAGACGCCAGCAATATTTCTAAGGCATCTGTGGTCAAATACTAGTAGCTTACGAGTGTCTTCTACTCTTAATGGCCATGTTTCGCTGCCGTAAATTAAAACAGAACGGACTGCCGCGCAGTATACTCGTCCTTTTATTGATAGACGGATATCTCGCCTTCGCCAAGGTGACGTAAGTTGGCAAAAGCCAAACGAGCTTTTCGAATCCGTGCTGAGATTTCGTCAGACACCAACCCATTAGGGCTGATCAGACTTCCAAGATAAGTGAAGTTGTCAACGCGTTCGACTACTTCACTCCCTATCCTTAGTTCAGGTGTTGACGCAGACCAGTCCTGAAGCAACAACTTGCATTTAGAGGGAGAGAAGCGCATTCCAAACATTCTGGCATTGTTGCTTAGTGCTACCAGAAGACTCTGCATTTTGTCAGCGTCTTCACCAAACAGGACTATGTCATCTGCGTATTCTAAGTCGATAAGTGGACCTCCTGGAAGGAGATCAATACCCGAGAATTCAGTCGACGAGAATGTTATTTCCATCAATAGGTCTATGATGAAGTTAAACAAAAATGGAGAAAGTGGACAGCCTTGACGGACACCACTTGAGGTTGCAAAAGTAGATGACAGTTCGCCATAAGCTCTGACTCGACTAGTAGTGTTCGAGTAAAGAGCCTTCACAAGGTTTATGTACTTCTGAGGTACGCCTTTCAATGACAGACACTGCCACAGAATCTCGCGGTCTACCGAGTCAAATGCTGCTTTTAAGTCAAGAAAGACCACCATTGTCGGACGCCGATAAGTATGCCTGTGTTCTAGAACCTGACGAATGGTGAATATGTGGTCGATGCAGCCACGACCAGGTCTGAAGCCAGCTTGATTCTCTCGTGTTTGCAGTTCACGAGTCTTAGTTAGGCGTCTGATAATTATCGAGGCTAGTATTTTAGATACTATATTAGTTAAACTAATCCCTCTGTGGTTGTCACAGGATGATTTTGACCCTTTCTTATATATTGGGACGATAAGTGATTGTGACCAGTCAGATGGGATAACGTCTAACTCCCAGATCTTAGCTAAAATATTAGTCAACCTAATCGCTAAAATTGGACCACCATCCTTAAAGACCTCTGGAGCCAATCCATCTGCCCTTCCTCGTTTCAGATTAACTATAGCCTTTTGAACTTCAGCAAGAGTTGGGGGACCTACTTCAATGTTCCATTCACACTGTCTGGGAATGGAGGGTAGTTGTAGAGTAGCTGAAGGCCAGCTGAACTGTTCTCTGAAATGTTCCGCCCATCGTTCTAAACGTCTGGACTGGGAGCAGATGAGTATCGTCTTTTTCCGAAATAATCTCACTTACACTTGACTTATTAATTCCAGTTTCTTTTATTAGTCTGTAAAGCTGTCTTGTGTTCCCTATAGTCGCCGCCTTTTCCATCTCTTTTGCTTTCGTTGCCCACCACTGCTCACGGTCGTTCCTTAGACTTTTTTTAACCTAGATCTGATTTGTTGTCGCTCTTCATCATGTTCAGAGCCTGATGGGACGAGTTTGCGAGAATCCATCAGTGTGATAGACCTTGAAGAAATCCATTGGTTCTTTGTAACTCTGTGGTTTAAATCACTAATAGATGTCACTGCTGTTTCCACAGCTGTTTGTATGCTTTCCAAGCAACATCTGGGTCAGCCTCGTTTTCAGAACTACCTAAGTGTGACCTCAGTTGTTCCTGGAACCTACTTTTGGTTTTCTCGTTACTCAACTCAGTTCTAATGGGTCTTTTTAATGTGGCTTTTTTGCGTCCAGTGAGGCGCAAGCAGATGCGTGCCCGTATTAGGGCATGGTCGGAGTCCAAGCAGGTACTCCAGAATGAGCGACAATCTTCTACCGACCCTCTCCAACGATGACTGATGGCAATATGGTCTATTTGAGTCCATCGTTGGTTTGGTGTAGGGGGTCGCCATGTTAGACGATGTCTCTCCTTATGCTTAAAATTTGTGTTTGCTAAAAATAAACGATTGTCTGAGCACAGTTGCAGCAGACGATCACCATTATCTGTTCGCTGTGCCGGAATACTAAAATACCCACCTAAATGCCTTTCTGTTTGGTTTAAACTACCTATCTGAGCATTAAAGTCACCTGCTACGAGTACTATGTCTGAGCGTTTAGCTTTCTGTAAAATTCATCTTTCACATCATCTGAGCTGCAGTCAGTGGGAGCGTAGGCAGAAACGACAAAAAGGCAACGACGTGTGTCCCTATCCTTCCGAGTTCTTACGGAGCCGTTTAGCCGAACAGCACATAGACGACTGTTGACGGGGATCCACTCTAGCAGTGCTTGTTCCGCCCTCATGCTTAGTGCTATGCCTACACCTGCCAGTCCACGAGAACTGGCCATCGGGTCACCAGATACACGGAGGGTGTATCTCGTTGGCTCTCCGTTTTGCCGAGGTGAGGTCAAGTGAATGACCACACTGGATCCTGTATGCGTGTTTCGGAGACACAGCATACATCAATGGAAAGAGACTCTAGGGTTTTAGCCAAGGAAGCCTGCTGACCGATTTGACATAGGGTGCGTACGTTGAAGGCTCCAATGTGTAGTTTGGAGCGAGGTTTCAGTAGACCTGGGACAGTGTTTTGAGCACTAGAATCGTTGGCTATGGTGACACTTGAGAGGGAAGCCGAAAAGGAAGTTTAGAGTTGAAAGTCGATGTAGGAGGAATAATAGGAATTGAAGAGGAGGTTGATTATGAATACAGTGGTCTTGAGTGCTGTTAGAGGTATGAGGGCGGTTATCACTTCCCGGTTGCCCACACCGTGGAAGGGTTCTTCTGGAGGTACCTGAAAAGGAAATTGGATTAGGGGTGGTCTTAGTGACCTGAGAGCGTGACCGCGGTGCCCAAGAGGCAACTGCTTGAGGCCGGTCACACACGACCTTTTGTGAGTTTCCATGTTGGCTGCGTACGTGTTGGGACCTTACCGCCGGAGACGGATATCCGTGGAATAAGGCGAGGTGTGCATTTTTAGGGTCGACCTTTTCTAACCCCACCCCTCCTTGTGGGAAGGCAGCATCGCTGTCATGCTGGTTGCTTGAAGGAAACACCTTACTGCTGTCACACCTCTGTACAGTCAGCAGTACGACTTCGCCTTCGGACCTTGGGTTTGTTGGTTTTAGTCTTACCGCTCTTCAACCGACCTGTCTGACATGGTAGGACCTTGTGGAACAGTTGTTCCAGCCAGTATAGCTCGGTTGCTTCATCACGATGAGCAAGCCCGACCACCACGTCAAGGTAGCAACAACAGTCGGGACCATTGACTTAACTACTTCTATGAATCCGGTGTTCATCTTGTTGTTTTAATGAGGTGTGGCAACTTGGACCGATGCATATATGTGCCTGGTCCTACGTTGTAGCTGACTGACTGACTGCGTCCAAACTTTTGGCTTCCGTTATACTGCTTAGGTTGTTCGAAACCGAGAATGATTGACTCTCCAGGAGCAGTCTGGTTTTCGTTCTGATCAAGAATGCATTCACCATATCACCGTCATACTTTTCATAGGCGAGCAATCGTAGTGTTTCCTAACATCATGACTGCCTTCGATTCGTTGGACAGCACTGCACTCTGTGATTGTATATTGAAAAAGGGTGTGACTGCGACGTTTATTGACATCCTAAATACTCTATATACATGCACCTTGCCTCCAAATGACCTAGTATAGCCGCCCTCCCTCTCGAAATGCTCACACATGGTCACGCGTATACAGCCTCTGCCAGGGAAGTCCTACTCACTGCCTCCTCGTGGCAGGGGTGTTGTTTACGAAATCGAGAGGACGAAAAGCGAATGTCCGGCGCTTTAACCGGATTCCAAACCAATGGTGCACATGGGCTCTAGTATCCTGCAGGAACAAATGGCGTATGAACCAATCTTGGTCACCGGCTACCATGGGACTGCATCTCCTCACGATGCTCCACTGCCTTGTGGATTAGACCTTCAGGTCGATGGCTCCGGGTGTTGCCCCTTAAGAAAACCACCTGCTTCGGTCTGGGCACCCGGGCAATATCCCAGCCATCACACAAATCGAATGATTTATGTGGCGTATATCTATTTGGTGCCTCTTTGTACCAATGTTTATGTGTTTAAATAAGTAAATAAACATTCACCTCAGGCAGAGTGAGGGCATACAACCACCTCTCTCCACTGTTCCACTCAAGCAGTGGGGTTAGATAGGTTTGCTCAATCTCACCATTCCTCTTCGACTTTACCATCGATGACATTCCGGAAACAGCTCTGATGAATGTAAGTAATGGCGGTGTGGATTTGTTGCCTGGAGCAATACTTCTCGACCTTGAGTATTCGGATGATATTGTCTTACTGTGCGATAATACCCAAGCCATGCAATCCGCACTTAATCAGTTGGCAATCAGTGTCCGTAGGTATGGTATGTGCTTTGCACCTTCGAAGTGCAAAGTACTTCTACAAGACTGGCAGGATTCTAATCCTGTACTCACTCTGGATGGTGAGGAGATAGAAATAGTCGAGGAGTTCGTGTATCTGGGTAGCTGCATAAGTGCTGGTGGGGGTGTGAGTGATGAGATCAACGCACGTATAGTGAAAGCCAGAGCGGCTTATGCCAATCTGGGCCATCTTTGGCGCCTTCGTGATGTCAGTCTGGCTGTAAAAGGTCGGATCTACAACGCATCGGTGAGAGCAGTTCTGCTCTATGCTTGTGAAACCTGGCCTCTCCGAGTTGAGGATGTTAGACGACTCTCTGTGTTTGATCATCGTTGTCTCCGAAGGATTGCTGACATCCAGTGGCAACTGTATTTACTTACTTACGCCTGTTACTCCTAATGGAACATAGGCCGCAGACCAGCATTTTCCAACTCACTCTGTCCTGGGCCTTCTTTTCTAGTTCCATCCAGTTCTTGTTCATTTTTCTCATGTCTATTTCCATTTCCTGGCGTAATGTGTTCTTTCGTCTTCCTCTTTTCCTTTGGCCTTGAGGATTCCATATGAGGGCGTCTTGTGACGCAGTTGGGTGCTTTCCTCAATGTGTGTCCTATCCACTTCCAGCGCTTCTTCATGATTTCTTCCTCTGCTGGGATCTGGTTTGTTCTTTCCCACAGTACGTTGTTGCTAATAGTGTCCGGTCAATGGATCTGAAGTATTTTGCATAGACAACTGTTAACAAACACTTGTATCCTCTGGATGATGGCTTTCGTAGTTCTCTAAGTTTCCGCCCCATACAGTAGAACTGTCTTGATATTTGTATTGGAGATTCTGACCTTGGTGTTGGTTGACAGTTGTTTTGAGTTCCAGATGTTCTTCAGTTGTAAATATGCTGCTCTTGCTTTGCCGATCCGCGCTTTCACATTTGCATCAGATCCACCATGTTCATCAATGATGCTGCCCAAATATGTAAAGGTTTTTACATCTTCCAAATCTTCTCCGTCAAGTGTGACTGGATTGATGCATGCTGTGTTGTATCTTGCTTTTCCTTTGTGTATATTGAGACCTACTGCTGCTGATGCTGCTGCCACACTGGTCGTCTTCTCCTGCATTTGTTGTTGCGTTTGGGATAAAAGGGCCAGATCATATGCGAAGTCTAGATCGTCCAACTGCATCCTAGATGTCCATTGTGTCCCGCGTTTCCCATCAGATGTTGACGTCTTCATGATTCAGTCGATCACCAGGAGAAAGAGAAAGGGTAAGAGTAAGCAACCTTGCCTGACACCGGTCTTTGTTTCGAACGACTTTGTCAACTGTCCTCCATGCACAATTTTGCAGTGTAATCCATCATATGAGTTCTGTATGATATTGACTATCTTCTGAGGCACGCCGTAGTGTCGAAGAAGCTTCCATAGTGTTGTTCTGTCCACGCTGTCAAATGCTTCTTTGTAGTCAATGAAGTTGATGTAGAGTGATGAATTCCATTCAATTGATTGTTCCACAATAATACGCAGAGTTGCGATTTGGTCTGTACACGATCTATCCTTACGGAATCCTGCCTGTTGGTCTCGAAGTTGGGCGTCTACGCAGTCCTTCATCCTGTTTAACAATACCCTGTTGAAGACTTTTCGCGGTATTGAGAGAAGAGTGATGCCCCTGTAGTTATCGCAGTTGCTGAGATCGCCTTTCTTCGGTATTTTGATCAGTAGTCCTTCTTTCCAGTCTTTTGGTACTTGTTCCTCATCCCAAATCTTATTGAAGAGAATGTGGAGTATCCTTGCAGTTGTCGGTACGTCTGCTTTCAGTGCCTCTGCTGGAATATTGTCTGGTCCTGCTGCTTTGCCACTCTTGGTTTTTCTGATGGCGATGCTTATCTCCTCAATTGTTGGTGGGCCAACATCGATTGGGAGGTCTGTGGGTGCTGCTTCGATGTTGGGTGGATTCTGTGGGGCTGGTCGATTCAAAAGTTCTTCGAAGTGTTCTACCCACCTGTTTCGTTGCTCTTCAATGTTTGTGATTACCTCGCCTTCCTTGCTTTTCACTGGCAAGGGGTTAGCGTCCCCATCCCGTAGAAAACTAACTCGCTAAAAAACGCTAACCAGAAAATTATCCAGTGGCAACACCATGTTAGTAATGCAGAGGTTCGGCATCGTGTGTTCGAGCACAGAGATGATAACGCAACCGATGTCACCATCTTGAAACACCGACTTCGGTGGCTTGGACATGTTTTACGAATGTCGTCCCAGAGAATTCCACGTCGTGTATTATTTGCCGACTCTGGGACTGGTTGGAAAAAGCGGAAAGGTGGTCAGTGTATGACATAGTGTCGTGGTATGAAAGAAAGCTGCAAACGGCTGGCTTCTGTTGGTCCTTCACGACTCCCTGGCTGGGGTACGAGAGATGGTGTAACACAGGGGCTAGAGACGTTATCAGATATGGCTCAGAATAGAAGTCAGTGGCGATCGTGCTGTTACCTTCTACTGCCCTCATAAAGAGTGGTTGTATCTTTCTTAACTGAAAGATCTCTTCTGATTATACGTTTCTGTTTCCCCCATTATTATTATTATTACACTACCATACACTAATATGTGGTCATTATTGTTTTTTTTACACGCACCTTACATCTTTTAAGTCTTCCCATTCTCATCATTATGTTGCGCATATATATTTGGTGCCCTCTTTTACCAATATTTGTATGTTCAAATAAATTAAACAACAGTGATGCCGTGAGAAAGTAATGAGTAGGACTTTCGTGACAGTAGTTGTATGCATGTGGCCATGAGAGGGCATTTCTGGAGGAAGTGCTGACTCTCCCCTCCTCGGCCGTACCAGGGCACCATGCAATTGTTTTAAGCACTTCCGTATAACCTGTGCTTGCTATCATTTTTGTCGGAAGATTCTCACCTTAACAATGGTTTTGATGTACTCCTTATGCAATGGAAAATTATTTGACAGATTAAAATATGAACAATGAGGAAAAATTAGTCGCTCAAATTGCATTTATCTCCAGTTTTCTCGGTAATATAAAAAAATAATGTGATTGCAGTTGATTAAAAATTTCTTACGTTACTAAAGAGACGAAAATATACATTGTTTTAAACCCTTTGAAAGTTCAAAAACATCAACTATATAAACAGCCAATAAAATAAATATCATGAATAGTTTATGGTGTTTCTAATTCATCCATGCTATCCTGGGTTAATAAGTCACTATTTTCTCTGAAATGTTACCTAAGATAATTAGTTGTAAAAACCTCATGGATATCTTATGTTGTAATGAATGGCCTAGTTCTGTGACAGCTCTCAAACAAAATTGCTGCCAAGGTTCAATTCTGAATTGAATGAATGACTTTCAATTCTCTGTAAATTGTAGATAAATTAAACTGGTTGATAATGCAGTATTGTGTATATTGAGGAAAAATACCTTAGTTACAAAGGAAATAAAGTTTTTTCCTAAACCAGTGTTTCTCACAGTAAAAGTTCAGATCTCAGATTGATTCATCACTCGTTTGACGGTTTTCATGAAGAGTTTACGAAGTACATGTTTTCTTCGTTCATCTATACATAGCGACACTACTTGTATAATTACTTAGTGGTTACATGTAGATATCAGGGTCCTCCAACTAAGTGACAAAAGATGGACATAATGTTGTGAAAGTCTAATGTATGTTGAAAACATCTCGTAGAATGAAAATAAGAAACAGTTAATTTTATTCGAAAAACAGATGTGCTTAATACTATTGCCGTGTTATTATGTTATACTTTGTTCAGTATATAAGCGCTTTTTGTCCATATACCTTAGTTTTAATTTAAAACAATCATATTATAGTTCGCCTCAGAGTTCAAGAAGTGATCGACCTCATACAAGACTCAGAAAAGTTACAGCAAGAACGTCAAAAGGCCAAGGCTAGTCGACACATTTACACAGGTTATGGAAATACCAATGATTTAGATTGGGGTTATTCTTCATACAAGAATGGTGGAGATTACGGTCAAAGATCGTAAGTTATCGTTATACCAAATATTCTGTCAAATATTGCAGCTAGCTGTTTGAAATTCCACTGAAGACAAAGTGTCTAAATAATGACTTATGTGTTTCGGCACTAACTGTTTGTTTTGTGAGTAAATACAGTCAGTCAGTGATCTTGAGTGTTGTTAGAAGTATGAGGGCGGTTATCACTCCCCGGTTGCCCACACCGTGGAAGGGTTCTTCTGGAGGTGCCTGAGAAGGAAATTGGATTAGAGGAGGTCTTAGTGACTTGTGAGCGTGACCGCAGTGCCCAGGGGAAAACTGCTTGAGGTCGGTCACACACGACCTTTTATGAGTAATTTTCGTGTTAGCTCTGTACTTGTTGAGGCCTTACCGCCGGAGATGGATATCCGTGGGATAAGGCCAGGTGTGCATTTTTAGGGTCGACCTTTTCTAACCCTACCCTTCTTGTGGGAAAACAGCATCGCTGTTATGCTGGTTGTCTGAAGGGAACACCTTACTGCTGTCACACCTCTGTACAGTCAGCAGTACGAATTCGCCTTCGGACCTTGGGTTTGTTGGTTTTAGTCTTACCGCTCTTCAACCGACCTATCTGGCATGTTAGGACCTTGAGGAGCAATTGTTCCAGCCAGTATAGCTCGATTGGTTCATCACGATATGCAAGCCCGACCACCACGTCAAGGTAGCAGCAACGGTCGCGTTGAATAAATCCATATTGATATAAGATGAGATTTATGAGGGATTAAATATTGGTTTCTATAAATCCTTATGAGACGTTAGATACCATAATAAGTAGTGTTAGCAATGTGCTATATATATATATATATATATATATATATATATATATATATATATATATATATATGCGTGCATGATATATTATGTCGTAATCAAATAATATCAACCATTCGTAAGATATGTACTAACTACTGGTAAATTGTTCACTAATTTCGTTCTTTCCTCAAAATTTTCCGTCCTTATTTATATATGCCACTAAAATTCGATTCATCGCTGTTCATCCTCGTATTTACGTTATTAATTTAAATACCTAGTTGGCTTCTATGCTATAATATAGATGTAATTTCTAAGAAACGTTTAGTCGGAAATATAAAATCTGTAAAACTCTTAAGAAATTAGACGTGATTTATTCCATACAGATTTTTATCGCTTCTATATTTGTTTCAATAAATTAGAGACGACTAAGGAGTACTAGATGAATATTTTCAAAATACACTAAATATCTCCAAGTGTTTACCTTTGGCTACTATTGTGCGCTTGCGCAAACCTTTTATATCTACTGGTTTGTTTGGGTTGGGAGAGGGTTTTGCGAATACTTACTGTCAGAGGGTAACTACATACGGCGGTAAATTTTGAATATCTCCAGAATTTTGTGGTCAAAGTATCTTTTAACTTACTACTCTGTATTTTGATATAGTGTTACACAGTCATGCTAATTATAGTGTTAAACGTGTCATTTATTACTACGTGTCACTAATTGTTTCTTATTATTTTCTTTCCCCCTATTCTTTTGGAATCCTATATATGTATATATGCGAATGCTTACCGTATAATTTGGTCCTTGGACCATTGTTTTTTCTGCTTTGTGTGCTTATATGTTTCATCCTTTTGTTCTGTTTTCCGCTCCTTGTATTTCATTGTAAATTCATGCTTGGCTATTTTGCTGTCCAACATATTTCATTCATTATGTGTACTTACATATATATGTATATGCGTGTGCTTTACATGAATTCTTATGTTATTTGAAGTGATTCACTTGATGACTATGATAAAGAAACTTACGCATCCAAAAACTTTACATTTCAATCGCGTGCCAAATCTAGAGTGACAATATCCGAGCATAAATCAGACCTACCCCCGCCTAGGTTGGGTAATTTTGATGATTGGCATGTGGGTAAAGAACGTGGTGTAATGGACGATGTTTTAGAGCAGTTCAAAGAAGCGTGGGATTTGGCCAAAGAATCTACTAAGGATTTAATTTTCTCCAAAAATCCTCAAGATAATAGATCAAAGTAGGTGGTTTATGTTCTCCGATGAAACAAAATGAGCACTTTTTGTGTGGAAAATACCGGTTTTAACGTTTATGCCTCTGTTTTGGTTGTAAATTAATATATGATAAATTTTATATGATCTATCATTTCATAATCATCAACATATTTATTTTTCAAACATGTATTATGGAGAAAAATGAGTAGCTTGCTACCAGTCACATAGATTCACAGCTTCATCTAGTTTAATCATCATGCAAACAATCGGTAGCCTACAAGGCGTTTAGTTAATTGTTGTCTAATTTCAACAAATTTAATTCATTAACTAACAATCTGTCGCATTATTCGTTATATTAACAACCATATATGTACCTTGATTCATCAAAGAATAACTTGTGATTGCTGATAATTTAACTTACGTTTGATAGACTTCATAATGTTCCATTCATCTCCCCTCTCTTTCTCTCTCTCTCTGTTAATCCTTGGCATAAGCACATTGTTTTGATCATTGTGGTTGTCTTATTAATAAGTAAAGAATCTAATAACGCTAGGATACTTAAACTACTTTTGCAAGATACAACTGTCTTTGAAAATTCATTAGAATAACTTAATCAAGCTTGGTTTTTATGTGTGCATTCTCTTCAAGCTTGTATACATTTGTCACACTCTAATGATGTAGTTTTGGTAAAAATGTTATTTTTTGCTTACTATAAAAAGGATAGTGATATTAAAACAAATCTTTTTTAATCAAAAATTGCATACATGTTAATTATCGCTTTTAAGCGGCTTGTTTTTGGTTATGTGGCTGAATGTTTTTCATGTACTGGGGCAAGTTTTTTTTACATGATCTTATATCGACACCTGATAATGAAAACAAAAGTTTGAAGAAAAATATCGGCGTATAACTCAAATACATATAAGTTCTTTGTTCATTGATTGATTGATATAGTTTGAATACTTACACCTAATTATTGTCTAAACTCTGTAATCCATAAATTGAGATTTTTAAATGAAAATCCATCGTAGCTGCAAGTAATTTATATGAGTGAAAAGTTTAATCAGCACAAGCTAAATAAGTTGCTTATTAGTGACAAGATTAAGTAACAAAACTGAGTAAGGTCTTTACACTGTATATTACTTAATTTACATTTTTTCTCTATGAAAAATTGAGTAGAAATGTTAGAGTTGTCAGGGACTACATGATTAGTGTCATATTAATTTCATTTGTTTTAATAGTTTGGTGTAATCGTAATTTCGATGATTTTTTCTTTTTCTTAGCTCTCCTACAAGTACATATTTCGTGAAAATAACAGTATATTAGCATATGCAGTTTTTTCTAGTACTGTTAAAAAATCTTGCACAAGCTGATTAGAACTTAAGCATATTGGTTATGGACAATAATTATGAACTTCATGATATAGGTTTAATACTTCTTAAAGTTCGTTAAAACGTATTACTGTAATATTTCAAGTAAATTTAACTTTAAAAATCCATCACTATTCGACTCGACGTTGATATTGATGAGCATTTTATTGTATGTAATTTATCACTGCCGGTCAGTGTCGAATATTAAGAACATGATATAACTTGTCATTTCATAACCGATTCTCTTTATTATCATATTCTCTATTTGTCAGAGACTAATTACCCTTTGATTAACTTTTCATATTAGTATATTAATAATTGTATATATCCATTGCTTAATGTGTAAACAGATTTGAGATAATTTGAAATTATTCAAAAAAAATGTGACTGCTCAAGATGCTTGTTTGTTTATCAAAAGTCACGTTCTATCATTGATTTGCTAAGTCAGTCAGTAGCGTGTAAAGAAAAAAAAGATAGCATATATCCCCAAAATTTGCAGCGTATCTGTTTTTCAATGTTCACTGTGTATGTTGTATCAAACATTTACGGACATTTTTACGTTCACATAGTCGGTATAAGAGCATAATTACTACTGAGGATTTCATTTGAAGATTTGAATTTTACTTACTTTTTTTCATCCCGCAAATTAAGATGTGCTATAGTGGTCTATTTAAGAAGACATGTATGTATAGCTTTAGATGATTGAAGTGAAATTTCCATTGAGAATCATGCTCTTATATTCAGTCCTCACCCACTAAATGAATGATAAAGTGCTCGACAATGCTGGACACCACACTTTTGTTGGACATTGAAAGGAGGATGGTTAACCTCACACAATAAAAACAAGCTGACTGTCGAGTATGATTATTAGTGGGACATTTCGTTCACTATTAAGCTAAATATTTATTTTAAAAAATTATGGTAAACAGTAATAAACTGCAAATGCACTCTTTGTCGGTCAAGAACATTGTTCTACCTATTTATTTTACTTAATAATGACCTGCCATACAGAATCATAATATTTCTTTTGTTTGTCACTACTCAGTGACTTTTCCCTTAATTGGCATACAATTTAACAACTGTTTTCGTCTTTCTTATGGGATTTATAAGGTTATTATTTCCGGCGGGTATGTTTGTGTTTGTGTGTATGTGAATGCGTCAACATCCAGAAATGTTTGTAGATACTTCATTGTTCATGTTGTAATCCGTTAATCGTTACGTTCTTATATCATTTGCATGTTATTTAATTAGCTATTTTCATGACTAACAATTCAACTGGTTTATAAAGAAACTGTTTCCTTTTTATTTACTCTCAATCCCAGTTTAGCTATTTGTACAAATAGATATTTTTATAACTAAAACATAATTGTCGTTTACAATAAATAACAGTTTTATGCATTTCATTTACGTATTTTTTTAAAATAACCTCCAAAGTGAGTTCAATCCACGTATGGTTTCTGAAGAGGTTTACGAGTTCCCATCAAATGCTGTTGAATCCAGTGGAACATATGAAGCGAAAATCCAGTCATCCTATGGAGATTATTATGCACAGAATGAATTTTCATCGAAAGAAATTTCAAGATCCACTAAATGTAATAGTGTTGATAGTCGTGTTAATAATAATAATAATAACGGCAACACACATGCATCACAATCTAATGAAAAATCTCTGGGCCAAGTTATTGTGACACCTAGAAATCAAGTATGTTATCTTACCTAAGTTTTTAATATGTGTATATACAACAGTCTTTGTGTTCATTGTTGACTTCTAAAATAATATCATAGTGAAGAAGGTGAATCTAAATGAGGCTCGGTAAAAATACACCGACTACCGTTTTCCATCTTCTAAATTTGTGCCGTTGGTTATTACGTTTCTCGATAGACAGTTTGAAGCCCACTCAATCATTTTAGCTACTTATTTTTCAACTGTTGCAATGTAACAATAAACTTTCTTGCTTTAGATTTGTTTGGACTGACTTTAATTATGTATAATAACCGTATACACCCACACATACTTATGATGATGCTAATTAATGGAAAGCTCAACCGAAGATACCACAGTTCATGACATATTTCCTTCCTAGTTTATACTTTGAAATTCATGCATCATGTTTATGATGGGCGGGAAAAGTGGTTGTATCAGCTAAATTGGTAGAAAGTTTTCATAATTGAAGATAAGATAAAAGATTTTGACTATTTAAGCACTTTTTATTAGATATATTTGTGAATAATTACAATTCGAGTGGATGTAAGAAAGAAATTGGATGCAATATTGAATAACTAGAGTTGAGAATTCTTTGCTATGGTATTATATAAGGGAAATATCATTGTCATCCTGACATAGGTTTTCTCCCAGTTGTTGATCACAGTCATCTCCATTTGATAAGAGAGAGCGTATGTGGTGTGTGCTACTGATGTCGACAGTATGTATCGTCAGTCGAAAGTGAAATATCTGGCGGCAGAAGGTTGAGAAGACCGAAGAAAAGAGAACGGGAACAAAAAAATTGGTGTAGAAACGAAGAAACAGTGAATTCTGAGACGGTTGATGGATATTTTGCAAATGAAGTATTTACTGTATGGTACACAGATTTTACTAAGTTTCTGTAACTTTGTGTTCAAATACATTCGATTGTCCCCATTTGTGTTCTCGTTCACTACACGTGTAGTAACCATGATTACGATGAAGTTTAATAAAATATTCTTGCTTTAAGCGAAGTTCACTTAAGCGAGATTCTCCACTATCTCAAGATTTTATTCTTAAATCCGTATTTTATTAGCTACGGCGTACCGTTAACGTGACTGTCTGAATATCTTTGCTCAATGATACAGAACGTCTGTTAACTAATTAACTCGAAAGTGATGTCTACCATTTTTTCCACTTTTGTATTCAGACTGTTATTGTTCTGTCACATTGCTGTTTTTTTCGTGTTGCTACTAGTCAGAACTAATTTTAATAATAATAATAATAACAACAACAAAAAATAATAATCCTGTATTGATTATTCCATTCGTTCGATGGTCGATATTTGTCAGCTATGTTAGTTCTTTCATATTATTCAGTGTTTTATATTAATTTTTGTTTATTTTTCTTTTCTGTTTATGCGTGTGTGACTGTGGCTGTGTACAAAGTTTTTTTGTGAATGACGCATACTTATAATTTTCAGTTTTAAATTTATCTGCTTTTTCATATGCTGTATTTACACTTTAGATTTATCTATACGTGATTGTTATCTCTTAGTGTGTTTCTTCATGATAAAAGGTGCTAGTAACACTCACGAATAAGTTATTGGCCATTTATTTTTCTTAATTATCTCCTAATTTAGATGATCAAAAAATGTAGTTTTCATATGGTTGTGCACAAATATTAAATTTATAGAAATATTTATCCGTATGAAGATGTTAAAAATTGACATATATAAAATATTTTACCAATAAATCTTCACAGAACACTGTGTTTGTTTATTCATCACAAAGTTGACAGTATGTAGGTTAAGTAAATAATTTTAGTTATGTGTGTCAGTCAGTGAGTTTGTGTAAAGCTGGATTGATCAAAGTATGACTGTTCACCAACACCTGCATTATATGGTATCTGGAGTGTACACAAGTTTTCGTAAGATTATAATAACCACTCTTTGTTTTCTTCCAAATTCTAATTCCCTGAATTCTTCGTGTTCCTTTTTTTCTTCTCTTTCCAAATTTATTTCACTGGATTATACTCCTTGAATAACATCGTCAAACCCTAATATTTCCGACTACTGCTTATACTCTTACCACCTCTGCCACTATGGGATTTGAATCGACAACTGTATCCCTGTGCTTATGTGGTATGGCAACTCGAACTGATGTACGTACATACTAAGTTCTACGTTGTTACTGACTGCCTGAAGATTATAATAAAGCATGCTACTAATTATTGAATTTTCTGATTGAGTCCAGTATTAATCGTTAGTCATCATACCACTTGTCATATATAGTGAATTAGTCTTGATTTTTATTGCTATCTGTAACACTTCTGTAACTGGTTTTGACGTTTTAGTGTGTGAATCCTTGACTCTTTTAATCCTCTTTCATACTTCGGCTATTATTATTCATTATTGATATCAGGCTGGCTTAGCGCACGTAAGGTAGTACCAGTATCTTTCACCTGATAACTTCATCTATGAATGGTGCTTCTAAGTAATTGATTATTGGGTATCCTTAGTTTAAAACAAACATACAGTAAAAATGTTGAGAATATCAGAATCGCAAAGGAAAATCTTCACGAAAATTACAATATTCAGATCTGTTTTTTTTGTTCACATAATATTCTTGTTGTTCCGTTGTACTATTTAAACTTGGATTAATTCTAGTTTGGTTATTTATTCTTTGAAGAAGTGGCTTACATTAAGTCACGAAACGTCAGAAAATCTAGTTTTTCTACTCATTGGGTTATTACAAATATATTATTATTTATTTATAACAATCTACCCAATGCTCAACTTATTCGAAATTATCATGTCATACCTTGGTAATGATACCTACAATTGAGATAATAGGATATTGCCGATGTTCAAACCAAATGAAGAATCAATACGTTTAAAAGAAGTTCGAGTATTATGCTTCCTATGTTTTTCAACATATAGTTCAGATGATTAGATAATCCTATTAAAAGTGTTTGACATAAACTTTTTAATTGCTAACATTATCAATAAAATTAATCATAAGTAAGTGCTCATTTTTTCTTAATAGCTACAAATATTTTTGATTAATTTCCTTTTCTCTTTTTGCGGCCAGAGTACTGAAAAGAAAGACAACATAAAGCCAAGACCACCATCCTGTGATTTGTTAGATTCATTTGATAGTGGTAATAGTATCATTAAATCAGATCAAATGATAGATCTGTTTGATGCAATATGCAGTTCACCAACATCAACTACAACTGGTGTACACTCTCAGCGGCAACAGCCAGCGCAAATGGGATTCGAAGTTAATTGGCCTAGGAATGTATTAACACCATCAGGCGTATCTTTAAATACCAATTCAATTCAAAATCATGCTACTGCACCATGTCAAAACCCTAATAAGTAAATTTAATAATATTGGTTATATGTTAAATGTTAAGCGTTACTATACATTTTTAATTTATCTCATAATTGCTTTGGTTATTTTAGCTTCCTTGATAAATTTGGATAGAACAAAGACAAGGTTTGGTGAATAAAATGAATTCATTTTATTTCACGGTTTCTCATCGTCTGCATACAACTTGAAATTACAAATAGTAATGTGAATATGATTTTAATTCATTTTTGTTTTGGTCATTTGGATCTTCCCATTGATGTTTAGGACTGCAATTGATCAGTCGCTTATTGGCAAATGGGCATCCTGTACGGATCACCTCGACATTACCTTAAATCACAAGCATTATAACAAGAGATGGATGGTTGTTAACAGTGAAGTCCAGGACGCGCGTTTCGTCGTGGATTCCACCGCTAGCCACCATCCATCTCTGAATATAGTAAATATAATTAGGAACAAACGTTTAGCATACCGTAGTTTGCGAAGTTTAGATAAATGTTGAATCGGAAACGAACCGCTTTCGTGCAAAGTAGTAATAGTTTTCTCAGCTCATTTTTGGGCAAAGGAAGTAATTTAGATTGTTCTTAAATAATACTTGCAGTTTCTCCTAGTGGTATACTCTGTTTAGATTTCTCTCCATTTTTTATTTTTCAAAAAATGTATCCCAGTTTGTTAGATAATGAGTTTGGTGATTTCACTTCAGCACCATCTGTACAGTTTCCTGCGAATACTGGTCCAACAGTTTCATCCCTCGATGGTATCTTTTTTTCCAACTTTTCAAATACTGAGGCTTATCCATCCAATCAAAATGTAAGTGGTCATTGTCAAATAATGTTGGATTGTGTGTAAAAGGGATCGGAACAATTGCTTGATCTCCAGAAGTATGTGCGATATCTGATTGTGTATTAACTTTTGTCTATTTTTTCTAAAGATGAGGTATTTATGAGATTTCAATTACACACTTTGAAACCAAAGGAAGAACTATTACATAAATACACTGTGACTATGTATTTTTTCATTTAGTTTCTTTAAATGGTCAGAATGTGGTATCAGTTGTTTACTCTGGCCCAAATCATATTTGTATCTGATTCAGAGCTGTGATTCGTCCATAAACACGGGAACATCTCAGTGTTCATATGTACTGTTTCTAATCTTAATACCAGTAGTGTTAATGCTTGTAGGGTATGATAGTAATTTATAAATCTTTTCAAACAGCAAAAGTAGATGTAACCGGATTATTTAATTTTAGAAGTGTGTCGTAACAGATTTCCTCTTGGTAAAGATTTTAAAAATTAGCAGTTCATTACCATTAATATTTGGCCCATGGTATTTATTGTTATTCATTACATAGTTTTTGATATGAAACATCATTAGACAGTTATCAAACTTACTCACTGAAGCTTGATGTCTTCAAGTAGTTCCTGTGTTTTTTTATTCAGTGTTTTTGTACTGTGATACTCTTTCCTGATTCAAAGGGTCAGTTATGTATTAGAAGTTTTTGAATTTGTCTAACTAATCATCAATCCTCATTTTCTGTTTATCAGGTAAAGGCTATTTATCGTGTAAGCCCAGGTTTTTATTTCAGAGGCACTTCTTCAATTTTCTACTCCACAGATGGCGTCAGTACTAGTATTGTAGTGGACGCTACTCACAAGGTTGCTTGTAAGTAGTATGCTGTGGGACGCGGCATCGAAGCTGTTACAGTCGTCAAACGGAGGAAAGAGTTTCAGTACATCAGGAGCGCAGCGTAGGTAGAACATTTGAAGACTAGACGAGAAGGCAGTCCGGAACGCGGAACACACGGCAAGATGCAAATGGATGATCGAAGGCTGTGTATTTGTGTTATATGAAGACTTTGTAATTACTCGCAATAATAATTAGTTTGGATGAACTGTTGATTATACAGCACTTATGAAGTAGCTTTTGAGGACTGTCGTCTGCTAACATTCTTTCTGATAGGACTTATTCGAATTCACTACTTATCAACTTCCATCATGTTTTCAACACCAGACACATTCATGTACGCTGGTTTTCATTTGAGATAGCTTTAAACTCTCCAGCTTAATACTTATTGAAGTGAATAGGATTTTGAGCAAATGCATTATTAAGAAGCGACTTTATTAATTAATTAACTTTCGTAATTGCCTGACACCTTTCTATTCTCTTAGCTGAATCTAAGCATGTGCTCCAGAGTGAGCGACAGTCTTCTATCGAGTAGTATGGAAGAAAGCTAGGGGCGGCCAGATCAAAACATGGCACAAGTCCATGAAGTCACTGACAATTGGACTGAGTCATGTTGGTAGGTGTAGACTACCTGGTTGGGGACCGCGAGATGATAGCAACCGATGGTTAGAGACGCTGAATGACATGGCTCAAAATCGTTTGCAATGGCGCAGGTGCATACACTCTTTGTGTTCTCCCAAATTTTGATCTCCTTATTCCTCCTTGTCTCTTTTTTCTCCTCCCAAATTTATTTCACTGTATTGTACTCTTTAAATAACATCTCCAAACACTAATCTTCCCGATTACTGCTTATACTCTTATTACCCCTACCACTACGGGATTTGAATCGACCACTGCATCTCTGTGCTAATGTGGTGTGGCGACTCGAACTGATGTACGTACGTACGAAGTTATACTTTGTTACTGACTGACTGATTCTGTTAGCTAGCAATTAATAAAGAGAGTAATTCTGTCTTTTGAATGCACAGAGTACCTTGTTGTGGTCCATGTGCTTATCGTATCTAGTGGTTAGAGACTTTAAGTGACACAACTCAGAATATTTTTATTGTTAATGATGTGTTCCCTTATATCCTAAGTTTCTTGAGTATTTTAAGTTTTTTTCTGTTCCATTGATTTATGTGTTTTCTAATCATATCCTCTGTCCCTAATCTTATCTACTACTAGGACTGACACTATTACTAATTGTAATACTCTGAAATCTATTCCGATGTGATGCGGCAACGTGAACTAATGCACATGTTTGTTATACTGTTTATTTTTACCAGATCACTCAACTATTCGTCATAGGGGTATGTAGACATTGATTTTTAACGCTAACTGTTTGTTCCTATTCATACTAATCAAATCGCCACAAATTAGCCAATAGTAATCTTTTCCCTTATTTGAGTGTTTATAATTTACGTTTCACTGTGCTTTTTTTCTTTGACTTATTAACTAGTCTCATCAAAACAAGCAAACTGAGGAATTCAAACAACAACACGTGGTTCAATCCAATCCAATTTCACCATCCAAATCTAAACCGCTAAACATTGGCAATACATGGAAAGAGTTAGGATCATTAAGTATTGATTTAGATTCATTAGCGAAACCGGAAAAATACGGTGCCCGAACACAAGCGCCGAGTTTACATCAATTAAAACAAAATCAACAGCGCGTTCAATAATAGATGGTTTTAGATGTGTACCGTTTTTTTCCTGATTGTTTAAAAAGAAAAATAATAGATATAAATAACTGATAGAAAATCATTTAACCACGTTTTGGAAACGAGATTATTTTTTATTCTAATACTTACGTCTGCGATGACCAATGGTATTGATGTGGATAATAATGATATTTCATAAATGTATTTCAGCTCAATAAATTGCTCTGCTCTTTCCTTATTTCGTTGGTTTTTATTCCACATACTTACATTGTTCTTATTAATTGACTTATCTTGGAATGAAATAGAAACTAGTTCACTTACTTCCGTTATTTATTTATGTGGTTTCATAAATTGTGTTTGTTTTATGTATAATTGTGTGTCTGTATCTGTATGTATAAGTGATCTTGAATGTACTTGTACGCCATATTTGTCTATTTTTCTGTATGTACAGGGATTTCTTTTTCTAAGAAAATAAATATTTGTCTTTCAAATAGTATTTTCTCATCAGAACTTATTTACACTTGAAAATTCTAATTCCATTTAATGTAATTGATTATTTAAACAGTAATTACATTTTACCCCATTTTATTTTTACCGTTATCATTATTTCTTTATTTTTAGTTCAAGCTTCTGTGATTATGCAACAGTGAATGCTAAACGTCTATTCTTTGTTAATCTCTTTTCGAATGTTGCATATAAATACATGTATTCGTGAATATATTTATAGGAAAACGGTTAAAAAATAATTTAGTCATAGGATAAATATTATTTAAATACAATAATGTGCCTTATTTAATTTACTTGTTTACTTGACTTGTCTTCGACTTATTTTCAACATATCTAACTTATGTTTATATTCAATTATGATTTGATTGATGCTTATCTATCATTACTTGTTGTTTTGTTATAAAAACGACATTGTCTATGTTATGCTGTGATTAATTTGTATAATTCGTTTACATACAGCCACACACACATAATGGGTTATCAAAATGTTTATTGTTTTTGCTATATTAGTTTGTTTTAACTGATCCTTTGTAAAAGTAAAAGAAATAATAAATATTATTTAGTAATTATTATGTTTAGACCCATTTAGAAATTTGAATATGCGTGATAAATTCATTGAGGTCTTCCACCTGTAAATTGTGGAAAGGCCTCCATAAATTTCAGCGACCGAGCTGATTCGTAAGTTGTTGCATGAGATTTCTCATTTTTACCGTCCATGTAGGCCATCATGGATGATGTCGATCCTTTTGTGTCACTTGCTTTGTGATTTTTCTGGTGTTCCTGTCATTTCAATCCCCAATAATTGTGTTATATACATAGCACCTAATGTAGACACATTTTATGAAATAACAAACAATTATCATAGAAAGGATCGTATGAAATGAAAATACTATTTGAAATTTAAATAGTACACTTCATTTGCCCACTACATAAAAAGAAGTATTCGGATATAACACATTTTATTCGTATGATGATACAGTCGAATAAACTCAGCTGATTTAACTTATGTAGGTGGAATTAGTGTAATGAGTTTGAATATGCATGGAAACAGCATTTACGGTATTAAATGAAAGACCAAAGCTTAACTGCGAATTTCCTTGTTGGAAATGCTGACAAATTCATGGAAAAGGGTTCTCCATATGGAGTTTTGATTACTAATTGTAACCTTCCGTGGATGGGTCTCTTGTAGGATTGAGATATCTATTTTGACTGATCACTGAATAGTAGCCAATCTCATATTTCTCTAGTCCTTAGGGCTGGTTTAATCCTATACCTCAAGAGTACGAATACACTGTGCTGACTAAAGTCATCCATGACGAAACCATGAGGGATAGTAGGCCTAAGTGAAGTGAATGGTAAGCATTTATGCGATTGTATTGATTTACGACGTTTGCATTTTATGATCTCCATTTGTGTCTTCTCTATGTGACTTAGTTTCATACAAGAGTTTATTCGTACGGGTATACGGGACAACAGGTTTATTAAATCGATTTAAAGTGAAATAATAACTACGAACAACTGGAGTTTTACCTTTCAGTGTATGTAAATGCAATAAAAATTACACTGGCATGATTTAACAGATCTTTTTTTACGTAATTTTTTGTACAGCTTTACAAAGAGCTGCCCCTGAAAGGAAGTGATGAAAACTTTAATAAACTATATTTCTAATATGTCCGTATTACATAGAATTTTCAATACACGATTGTTTTAAAAAAATCTTAATACATCCTGTTACGAATGGCAGCTTCATTTAACTCTCAAACATTTTATCTTATTTACTTTAAAGGGTCTTTGGATTGCGTTGACCTCAAACTGTTGTTAGTTTTGTGACTTTTTCACATTAAATAATAACTATCAAGGGAATCTGTTCTACCAGCAAATAACTTTCAGTGAATCCACTGTTATACTGAATACGGGAATATATTTTACCATCAAAATTAGGTTTCAATGAATATATAGATATATCAGAAGGGGCTTTACGAAGATTTTAGTAGTTTCAATAGTTGAAATCGTGAGTTACTTGAAGCTAGGACACCATGGAAAACCTGTAAGCATTAAATGGCCGTTTCGTCCTAGTATGTGACTCCTCAGCAGTGCGCATCCACGATCCTGCCTCACGAGATTCGAATCCAGGACCTATCAGTCTCGCTCGCAAGCGCTTAACCTTTAGATCACTTGAGTCGACCGGCATCCAGTGGTGTTAATGTCTAATCAGTTGGATTGGTTGGAATTTCGCGGGGGGCGGGATCATGGATGCGCACTGCTGAGGAGTCCCGTACTAGGACGAAACGGCTGTTTAGTGCTTCCAGGTTTTCCATGGTGTTCTAGCTTCGATTGACTCATGATTTCAACTATTGAATAATATATATATATATATATATATATATATATTTGTACTTTTGTGGATCTGAATTCACTATTCTAACGTTAGCTGGTATAAAATTTATTTATTTACCTGTTTCTATAAAGCTTATGGGTTACCATAGTTACATTTCAAATAACAACAAAGAAACATCACAACAATACTCTATTTTAGCTTAAAAATCATCAGGAAAAGCCAGATCGTTAATCGTTTTTCGCACAGTAAACAAAACAAGACGTGTTTTTTCTTAAAAAATCAAGAGTTATAAATGAATGCAAATCGAAAATTATGGAATCCCTCCATGGTATTTTAAACGTTTTAATTAACTGAAAAATTTTTTTGGAATATCTGTTTTACATTTCAACGGATTTAATGAAAATGGCTCGAAATACAATTTACTTAGATTTAATTTATTCAGTGAGTTGAGTGAAAGCAATTTGGGCGCTTGTATGAACAGTTTATTGAACCGTAGTCGTAAGCGCATTCCAATATTTAAGTTTTCACACAATATAAAATAAAGCTTGCAAATAGATTGATTAGAAAACAAAATTTCTAAATGAATGCCACAAAAGTTTTCTATTCATAAGCATTTAATTACAATGTAAAGATTCAGAAGTTTAAAGATAGATCCAACTCGAAGTACTTGTTACTTATACGTTAATGACAATCAATATACTATTTGTTATTATAGGTAAGCCAATATACTTTAGATTTGATTTCCGACAAAAGCTTGTAGATTTTTTATTTCGTTCCTGTTATTCAGTGTTCTTTATCGTCTCGTATACGTAGACAATATAGATCTATAATATTGAGGAAACAGTTTCTAAAACTGGAATCATTGGTGTTCTTTAAGCAGCTCAACGAATTAGTGATAATATCTCAATTTAAGGTTTTAAAAAATCTTCATACCAATACAACTTGGAGCAAAATTTCAAATGTTCTGACGATCACTAATTTACATGCAGATAATAAATTGAACGATATTCCAAATTCCATTTAATGTATGGTCGATAATTCTATAAACATGTCTAATGTAAAATGAATAAAGACGAGCTTATCTAAAAAGGTTCAGAGAGTGGACCAAACAAAGAAAATGTCATCACATTATTGACAAGAAGTCGTTATGTATAATTACAAGTATGATAGAAGTGTTTATTCATATCAATATTTATTTGATATCATGAACTATTCAAGCTTACAGGACTAGTTGTCAACTGATAAATTTAATGTTCACTGAAGTGTCCCAGGATTTGTATATATATTAGTGATAACAATTTAATTTGAAACTGTGAGGTAAACTAGTATCTTGAAAACTGATATTAAAACAAAGAGTACTCTCCATTTTAATAAGGCTGTTTTATTCAAATGAGAAAAGAGGTCATTTGAGAGATTACTGATTAATTCACATAGACTGTAGTAAATATAAATTAAAGTATTTTAGCAGTTTATACTAATCTTTAAATATATCATACTTATAATGCATAAAAACACAATTGAGTAATTTCACAGAGCGTAGTTTTAAGAAAATGAGATATTCGTTTTCATTTTAGACAACACAAATCAATATTTCGACTATAAATTGATTGAGTTAAATCTAAAGTTACAAAAGCTGAATGACAATTTTAATCCCTGGCTGAAGTCAGTCACGAGAACAAGACATAATAATATAACTTGGTTGATGGTTTTAATCCAGGACTGACAAAGTATTATGTTATTGAATAAGACATGGTTATCAGTCTGTAATTAATCGTATGTAACTTCATATTGATAATTAGGATTTCATCACAGAACTACAAAATTTGAACATCTGTGAGATAGTACAAGAATTAAACATCTGTTTTTGATCCGTTCCAGGTTATAATTGTTCTCCCATTGATATCACTATACTGAGAAATATAGTTAATATCTGACTAAAAGTGTAAATAAGAAGTCGCTTGTTTTTTATTTCAAGAAAGTATTTTGACCTATTTTCAGCTATAAAAAGTTTTATAATAGTATGAGTTTAGTACTAATATATATATATATAGTACATTATCAACTATTCATATTTGGTTTTACAAAGTCATTACTGAATTGAATATTATTGATTTGATTTGGTTAATTGATTGGTTGGTCTAACTTTATACAACTCATAAAAGGTATGTACAAAATG